CCCATGCATCAGCCCCGCAGGTGCACCTGTGAACCCCCCCAAAATGCACCCCCCGCCCCAGCACCTGGCCAGCACCCCCAGCGCAGCCCACGCCGCTTCCCGGGGGTCCCGGGGAGGGCGAGGGTCTGTCCTGGCACCCCCGCCCTGTGCCAGCCCCCACAGGCACGGGGGGACGCGCAGAGCCCCCCGTGACCCCCAGCCGTGGGGGCTGCAGCCCCCCGAGTGGTGGGACGGCCCCCGGCCCAGCATGGGGGACAGCCCCCAGCCCCTCGCCGCCCCCCGTGCCAGCAGGGCTCGGGGGTGCCATGAAGAGGGGCTGGGGACACCCCCCCAAGCACGGGTGGGACCCCCGCCCCTGTGTGTCGCGGCGACATCCCGACCCCCCGGGCCCGGTGCCACCCCCCGCCCCGACACCCGTCAGTCACGGTGACACAGATGGCGGCGGTGCCGGTGACACGTTCGGCAACACGCGGCGACACGTCCCGCCCTGGTGACGCGTCCCCGACACCTGCGGTGACACCGCCACCCCCCGGGACAGCCGGCGCCGCACCTGCCGCGACCCAGACACCCGCGCCCACGGGCACCCCAAATACCGCGCGGGACGGGGGGGCCCCGAGAGCCCCCCGACACCCTGCTGACCCCCCGGGGCCCCGAGAGCCCCCCNNNCACAGAGCCCCAAATCCTGCCCCAGCAGGGACCCCACATTCACAGAGCCCCAAATCCTGCCCCAGCAGGGACCCCTCATTCACAAAACCCCAAATCCTGCCCCAGCAGGGACCCCACATTCACAGAACCCCAAATCCTGCCCCAGCAGGGACCCCACAGCCACAGAGCCCCAAATCCTGCCCCAGCAGGGACCCCACAGCCACAGAGCCCCAAATCCTGCCCCAGCAGGGACCCCACAGCCACAGAGCCCCAAATCCTGCCCCAGCAGACACCCAGCACCAGCCCTGGCAGGTACCCCACACCTCCCTGGGTACCCCACACCTCCCTGGGTACCCCACACGTGCCCTAACCAGGCCCTGGCACCCACCCAAATGCCCCAGCAGGGTCCAAGACCCCCAGACCTCCCCAGCCCGAACACTGACACCCACCTTGTCACCGACCCTGAGGCACGGGACACCCCCAGCCAGAGGGACGCTGACCCCCGTGACATCCCTGCCACCTTGCAGGTGTCACCCGACGTGGCCACCACCACCTGGCTACGGCCAGGTGACACCAGAGCAGCGTGGGGACAGCCCGACATAGGAGACACCCCGACAGTACAGACACCCCGGTGCTGGGGACCCCCCACCGTCCCCTCCCCGCGGCTGCACCCCGGGGGTACTCACGGCGCCGAGCTGCGGCGTCGCAGCCCCCTCGGGACCCCCCGACATGGGCACAGGGGACACGGGCCGCCCCGGGCGGGCAGCGACAGCGGCACCCGCTGCTTGTGGCACCCGTGCCAGGGTGGGGGGACAAGCCCCGTGACGGGGTGACGTCCCCGTGGGACGGGGTGACGTCCCTGGGGGCGGTGCGCCCGCCCCAGCTCCGACCCCGGCCCCCCGGTGACGCTGGCACTGACCCACACCCACCCCAAAGGCACGGCACGGCAAGGGAACGGCCGCGAGGAGCGGGGACACACCGGGGACACACCGGGGACCCCCTGGGACACACCGGGGACCCCCTGGGACACCGCAGAGGCCACGCCACAAGCCAGCGTGGCACAGCGGGACACAGCACCGGGCCGGCCGTGGCACCAGGTGGGCAATGGGAACCCACGAGGGGGTTACACCCCCAACCCCCGGGGGGCACTGGGGGGCCCCAGATCCCCCTGGACCCACCAGAACCGCCAGTGCCCCCGCTCCCGGCGCGGGTAGCCCACACCCCTGAGGGCGGGAGGAGCCGCAGGAGCCGCTTCCCCGGGGGGACACCCCAGGCCCCCCCCAGCCCCTCAGAGCCTGCTGCGACCCCCAGTGCCAGCCCCTGCTCCGTGTCCCCCAGCCCGGCGTGGGGACACCCCCGGGACCCCGCGCCCACGCGTGGCAGGACAAATTGGGGGTCCTTGTTCCCGCCGTGGGGGGGAGACCTCCCCCCGAAAATCCCGAGACCCCCAAACCCATCCAAACACTCCGGCCACGATCCGCGGTGCCCGCCCCCCTCCCCCGATCCCGGCATGGGGACACCCCTGGTCCCCTGTGCCGTGGGACCCCGTTTGCGCCGCGGGGGGTCCCTCAGAGCCCCCCCGGTGCCCCCCAGAGCCGCCTGCAGCTCCCACCGCCTGCCCCATCCCCTCCATGCCGGCGTGGGGACAGCCCCGCGCACGGTGAAAGGACAACGGCACCCCGACCCCCCGCGGGGGACCCTCCCCAGATCCCCCCGGCGACCCCCAGAGCCGCCCCCCCGCCGGGCCCCCCCCCGGCTCCAGCCGTCGCCACTCCCCGGAGGAGGGACCGGGAGCGCCCGGGAACGGCCCCGCGGGGATTCCGGGGCGAGGAGGGGCACGGGGGTCCGCGGAACCGGCGCCTCCCCCGCCTGCTCCACCGCCACCTCCTTCCCTGCCGGCACCTGCGGCCCCCAGCCCCAGGAGGGATCCCCGCAGTGTGACTGGCACAGCGGGACGGGGACGGGAATGGTGACGGGGATGGGGACAGCGGTGCCGGGGACACGGACAGTGACGGGGACACGGACAGTGACGGTGGCGGTGAGCTGGCCCTGGCAGCTCCCGGTGTCCCCGTGTCCCTGGCCGCTGCCCAGCCCTGGCAGCGCCCCACGGCTGCGCCCGCCCGGCCCCCCCCGGGCACCCCCAGCCCCGACGAGAGGGACCTGGGGGGCAGCGCCCCCGCCCACCCAGCCGGGGACCAGCGGGGCCGGGGTCAGCAGGACTCGTCCCGCAACGGGGGGGGTCCCTGGTGTCCCCAACAGCCAGCGATGTCCCCGTGGCACACCCCGGCTGGTGGCACCGCTGGGTCCCCACATACCCTGAGTGGGTCTGGGGTCCCTCAGCCCTATCCTGCCCCACCCAGGGATCCCCTCCAGAACAGACCAGGAGTTCTGGGGGGGTCCCATGAGCCGGGGAGGTGTCACGGACACACCGGGCACACCAGGCCCCTGTCACTGTCACCCAGCACGCGGTGACCTTGACGGACGCTTGGCTCCGGCCCCGCGGGTGAATCACGGTGCCGCTGCAGGGACACCCTGTCCCCCAGCGCCACCGACCCGAGGGGCTTCACCGTGCCCCACGCCCCCAGCTCCCGCGTCCCCGTGTCCGTGTCCCAAATTCCGCCCGACCGCACAGCCGGGGGGGCACCCCGAGACCCCCCCGCCGTGCCGGGGGGCAGAGCCCGGCCCGGTGACCACAGCCGTGCCCCCCGTGTCCCCTCGTGGCCCCGGGGTACGGTGGGGAAGTCAGAGCACGGCGTCACCCCGGCGGAACAATTAACCACGGCCGAGGCAATCAAGAGGTTCCGTGAGCAGCTGGGGGGGTCGGGGTGCGGAGTGAGGGGGTGCCCCCCCACAGAAGGGTCCCTCAGCCCACAGAGGGTCCCCCCGCCCCCCCCCCCCCCGGGCCCCCCGGCCCCCCCCCCCAGCCCCGTCAGAGCGGGGTGGGGAGCAGGGAATGGGGTGGGCAGCAGGGAATGTCCCCCCCAAAGAAGGGTCCCTCAGCCCCCAGAGGGTCCCCCCCCCCCCCCCCCCCAAGGGCCCTGCGGCCGCGCCAGCACCAGCGCGGGAGCGCCCGGAGCTCCGGGTGGAACGGGGGTCCCCGCGGGGCCCCTCACGTGTGCGGGCAGGTGCGGGGCCGGGGGGACCCGAGGGGGTCGGGCAGATGCGCCGGGGCCGCTCCGTCCCCCGCCGGCTGCCGGGGACCCCGGGGACAGCCGGGGGCTGCGCGGGAGGCTCGGGGACACCGCGGGGCGGGACAGCCAGCGGGCCCCACCCCGCACAGCCCCCCGGGGATCCCCGGAGCCCCGACCCCCCCGGATCATTAGCGGAGGGAAATCAGGGTGTAATTAAGCGGCGCCTCCTGCTCCCGCGGCAGATGGCGATTACACAACGGGCCGCGGATTAGCGGCGGCCGCCAGGGCCTGGCACCCGGCAGGCACGGCACCGGGGAGAGGGGCACGGCGGCACCGGAGAGGGGCACAACGGCACCGGGGAGAGGGGCACAACGGCACCGGGGAGAGGGGCACAACGGCACCGGGGAGAGGGGCACGGCGGCACCGGAGAGGGGCACAACGGCACCGGGGAGAGGGGCACAACGGCACCGGGGAGAGGGGCACCACAGCACCGGGGAGAGGGGCACAACGGCACCGGGGAGAGGGGCACAACGGCACCGGGGAGAGGGGCACAACGGCACCGGGGAGAGGGGCACAACGGCACCGGGGAGAGGGGCACAACGGCACCGGGGAGAGGGGCACAACGGCACCGGGGAGAGGGGCACAACGGCACCGGGGAGAGGGGCACAACGGCACCGGGGAGAGGGGCACAACGGCACCGGGGAGAGGGGCACAACGGCACCGGGGAGAGGGGCACAACGGCACCGGGGAGAGGGGCACAACGGCACCGGGGAGAGGGGCACAACGGCACCGGGGAGAGGGGCACAACGGCACCGGGGAGAGGGGCACAACGGCACCGGGGAGAGGGGCACAACGGCACCGGGGAGAGGGGCACAACGGCACCGGGGAGAGGGGCACAACGGCACCGGGGAGAGGGGCACAACGGCACCGGGGAGAGGGGCACAACGGCACCGGGGAGAGGGGCACAACGGCACCGGGGAGAGGGGCACAACGGCACCGGGGAGAGGGGCACAACGGCACCGGGGAGAGGGGCACAACGGCACCGGGGAGAGGGGCACAACGGCACCGGGGAGAGGGGCACAACGGCACCGGGGAGAGGGGCACAACGGCACCGGGGAGAGGGGCACAACGGGCAGATGCGCCGGGGCCGCTCCGTCCCCCGCCGGCTGCCGGGGACCCCGGGGACAGCCGGGGGCTGCGCGGGAGGCTCGGGGACACCGCGGGGCGGGACAGCCAGCGGGCCCCACCCCGCACAGCCCCCCGGGGATCCCCGGAGCCCCGACCCCCCCGGATCATTAGCGGAGGGAAATCAGGGTGTAATTAAGCGGCGCCTCCTGCTCCCGCGGCAGATGGCGATTACACAACGGGCCGCGGATTAGCGGCGGCCGCCAGGGCCTGGCACCCGGCAGGCACGGCACCGGGGAGAGGGGAACGGCGGCACCGGAGAGGGGCACAACGGCACCGGGGAGAGGGGCACAACGGCACCGGGGAGAGGGGCACGGCGGCACGGGGAGAGGGGCACCGCGGTACCGGCAGGTTCTGCCCCCTGCATCCCGCCGGGAGCCCCCCGGGGCCTGTCCCGGACCCGGCTGCCCCCGGGCACGGCACCCACCGCCCCACAACACCACGGTCACGACCCGCGGCCAGTCCCCCCAGCACCACCGAGCCATCTTGGCACCACCCGGACACTGCTGGCATCACCCGGACACTTTGGCAGCACTCGGCCACCTCCAGCACTGCCTGGACACCTTGTCACTGCTCGGACACGTTGTCACTGCTGGGCCATCTTGGCACAGCCTGGCCACATCGTCACCAAAACTGTCCGGACGCCTCGGTCAGCCCAGCCACCTCTGCACCTCTGGCACCTGGTGTCACCTGGTGTCACCTTGCCACCTCCAGCAGCACCTGGCCACTATGGCATTCCCTGGTAGCCTTTGCCACCACCTGGCCACCTCTGGCACCTCCAGCATCAGCTCCCACCCAACCCCGGGGCCCTCCACAGCCCCAGGGCTCACCTGTGTCACCTGTCCCCCCCGCCCGTCCGGGTCTCACCTGTGTCACCTTCTCGGTGACGTTGTGGGTGCGGTCGCGCAGTTTGGTGGGGGCAATGATGGGGCGGGGGGCCGGGGCCGGGGCCAGGAGCCCCCCCGGCTGCAGGTCCATGAAGTTGAGGGTGATCTGGGGGATGCGGCCGATGGCCCGGAACCGCGCCAGGTCCGAGTCCGACGTGGAGTTGAGCAGCGCGCTGCGCACGGCGGCCACCGCGCCTGCGGGGGACACACCGTCACCGTCACCGCGGTGTCCCCCCGCAGGGGGACCGTCACCGCCGCACACACCCTGCATCCCCCCGCAGCCCCTGGGGTCCCACGGCCCCTGGGGGGATCCCACAGCTCCCAGGGGTCGGTCCCGCGGCAGGTGAAGGGAATGTGGAGCCCCAGGGCAGGGCAGACCCCCAGCCGTGTGCCACCAGCCCCCCAGGGACCTGCAGAGCTGCTCTCGGTTACCTTTAATGTCATTACAGTAATTGTCCCTGATCTTAATACGCTTAACGAGCTCTGGGGCCAGCGAGGTGACTCCCGGGGTGACTCCCGAGGTGACTCCCGGGGTGACTCCCGAGGTGACTCCCGGGGTGACTCCCGGGGTGACTCCCGGGGTGACTCCCGAGGTGACTCCCAGGGTGACTCCCGGGGTGATTCCCAGGGTGATTCCCGAGGTGCGGGGTGACTCCCAGGGTGATTCCCGGGGTGACTCCCAGGGTGATTCCCGAGGTGACTCCCAGGGTGACTCCCAGGGTGACTCCCGAGGTGACTCCCAGGGTGACTCCCGGGGTGACTCCCGAGGTGACTCCCGGGGTGACTCCCGGGGTGACTCCCGGGGTGATTCCCGAGGTGACTCCCAGGGTGACTCCACCCTGCGGCCCAGGGGGCTGCAGGATGGGCTAGGAGGGTCCAGGGAGATGCGGGGGGTCCCCAGCCCCTGCTGTGGGGCAGTGGCATGGGGGTCACCAGGGCGTGTGGCGGCGGCTGCCCGTGTCCCCAGCCCCGACGGCTGTCCCCGAGCCCGCACGGCCGTACCGGTGCTGGAGCCGCGGTGCAGGCCGGCGCTGGCGCTGGCGTGGCGGCTGTGGCAGCGCTTGTCCCCGTCCCCCTTCATGGCCTCGATGTCATCGACGGACGAGGCGCGGCGGAGGCTGCGGAGGCTCTCCCGGGACCGGCGCTCCCGGGACCGGCTCCGGGCCAGGCTGTGGTTGGCGAAGGCCAGCGCCAGGCGCTCGGCCCGCGGGGACGACTCCGTCACCGGGGGCTCGGGGTCCCCCATCAGCGCCGCCTCGTCCTCGGGACGGTCCCCAGCGCCGGGCTCCAGCGACGAGGAGGCGTCCTCAGGGCCCGAGTCGCCGGCAGGCAGGGCGGGCTCCGTGGGCAGCGGGTCCGTGACCCCCGGGTCCACGACCACCACGTCCGGCGGCTCCGGGGGCTCGGGGGGCAGCGACTGGCGGCTGCCCGTGAGCGCCAGCAGCTTCAGCCGCAGGGAGCGGCTGCGGCCTGGGGGGGACAGCAGGGCTCACCCTGGGCCGGGGGCAGGGTCTGAGCCCCCTCCCCGCGGTGCTGCCACTCTCCCCATGTGCCCCAAAGCAACACCTGGGGCACGGGGTCAGCAGCACATGGGCTGACACCAGCCCCGGGGCACTGAGCCCACTCCCCCTGCAGGATCCCCAGGAGGAGGGGGTGACCCGGTGTCCCTGTCCCCCAGAGCTGGGGGTGACCCAGTGTCCCTGTCCCCACACCTGGGGGTGACCCGGTGTCCCTGTCCCCATAGCTGGGAGTGACTCAGTGTCCCTGTCCCCCATACCTGGGAGTGACCCAGTGTCCCTGTCCCCCACACCTGGGTGTGACCCGGTGTCCCTGTCCCCATAGCTGGGAGTGACTCAGTGTCCCTGTCCCC